ATGTACATACACATAATTTTAAAATCTGTAAGTTGTTTAAAAATACCAAAATTGTGTTTTCTTTTTGTTTTGAAAAAATAAGTTCCATTATTAGAAGTTATTGGTCATTTATTTAAAATCAACATTATAGTAGAATGAGGGAAATTTTTTTAAACTAGATATCTGAAATAGTTATTGAATTTTCATTACTGAAGCTGGGAAATAAGAAGTTATGAAAATTTAAGAATCCTTCAAAACGTGAATATATGGTTCAGAGTTTTCCATGAAGCCAGCAGATGTTGGCTGTGTGTATTCATGTTCTTTATAAGTAGTATAAACAGCAAGTATTCAGCATTTATATACCACCTGACATAGCAAACACCACAAAGACATTTATTTGTTAATCATAAAGAAAATAGGTGTTAAGAATAATTTAGAGCATGTTATTTATGTCACCAACAGGCTAATTTTATACCTTACAATAGAGGAGTTAAAGAAAAATTGGTCACAAGAAAGCAGTCTTTAGCTTTCAGAGGGTAGGGAAATTGTACTTTTACTTACAATAAATACAGAACATGTTAAGAATTTTCTCCCCTATGTGATCTTGGGAAATAGTTTTCCATGCATAGTGGAAGCTTGAAAGAAGACAGGGAGAGAGAGGGAGGGAGGGAAGGAGGGAAGAAAGAAGGGAGAGAGACAGAGAGAGGAAGAGAACCTGAGAGAGAGCACGCAAGCACACAGACACGTCCTTTACTTGCTGCAAATGAATTGTAGTCTAACACCTGTGCCTTAATTGCTTTCATGAATGGCAACTGCAGATGTATACACAGTCACAAGTCGAGAAGTCGAGTGAGTATAACAGACTTCTGACATCTCCATATAAAATATTTAGATATGACATAAGTGGTTTCCTTTTTTCAATTTTTCAACTTAAGATAGATTTGATAAATAAAAAAAGTATACTCCTTCATGGTGTAGTTTATAAATTGATTTTTCAGTTCATCAGTGCAATAATATCTCACTAGCAAAAAAAATATTAATTTTACCAAATCCCATCTATTTCTGCCTTTTTCATTCATAGCTGAAACTTAGCTGTTCAGCTGAAAGAAAAGAGTTACTATTTGAATAAGTGATATTGCCCATTTAAACATAGAGCAGTCAAGTGTTAATTTTTATATATTCATGATTGCCAGTATTTTGGTTAATTCTCATGACATCAACTGACATCCTGCTTGAAGTAAGATTTCACAATCTTATGAGTTATTCATATATTTTATTCATATAGATCTAGGCATTATCAATATTTTCCCTACAAAGAAGGACTATATATATATGAAGGATAAAATACCTTAGGAGTGTATTGATCAGTTTATAAGTAAAAATAATACTAAGATTAATTTTATTGAATTGGGAAAATGATTTACATATATCAAGAATTCTTGAAATATTCTTGAATAAAAAAATATTAATTTTTACCAAACCCTAGGGAAAAAATCAGACATATCAAATTTCATCTAGAAGCAACTAAATCTTAATGTTGCTTATGAAACAGAGATAAAATTTTAAGTGTTGTAAGCTTTCTTTATTTCTAAAAATAATAAATTTATGACAACATGGATGGACCTTGAGGGTATGATGCTAAATGAAATAAGTCAGTCAAGGAAAGGAAAATATCATATGATTTTACTTATATGTGGAATCTAAAAAATTAAACAAAACAGCAACAAACTCATAAATACAGAGAACAAACTGATGGTTTCTAGAGGGAACAACATGAGAAGATGGATAAAATAGGGGAAAGGGATAAAAAGGTAAAACCTCCAGTTATTAAAAAAAAAAAGGCATTTAATAACCACCAGTTATTTTAAAAAGGGGTACAATGTACAGTATAGAGAATATAGTTAATAATATGTAACAACTTTGTAAGATGACAGATAGTAACTAGATTTCTCCTGGTGATCACTTCTCAATGTGCATAAATGTTGAATCACTATGTTGTACACCTGAAACTCATGTAATATTGTATACCAAATACACTTCAACAAAAAATGAATGAATAAATAAATAAATGAATGAATATTAAAAATAAGGAGCACAGAATGTTTTAGGTAGATTATTCCAAGGCAAGAGGCATAACATGATGATTAAGTAGAAACAGCTTTTCAGGGGCGCCTGGGTGGCTGGGTTGGTTAAGTGTCTCTTGATTTCCGCCCATGTCATGATCTCCCAGTTTATGAGATTGAGCTGACAAAATGGAGCCTGCTTGGGATTCTCTCCTTCTCTCTCTCTCTCAAAATAAATTAATAAACTTAAAAAAAATAAATGACTTTTCAGTCATATTGCTTTATTTTTTATTTAAGTTTATTTATTTTGAAAAAGAGAGAGAGTGTGAGCAGGGGAGGGACAAAGAGAAAGAGAAAAAGAGAACCCCAAGCAGGCTCTGTGCTCTTAGCACAGAGACCAACCTGAGGCTCCATCTCATGAACCGTGAGATCACGACCTGAGCCACAATCGAGAGTCCCACAATCAATCGACTGAGCCTTCCCCCCTCACCCCTACCCCGGGGAATCCCATGTATTGCTTTTTTTAAAGCCCGCTCTGACATTGCTAATGTTTTGTCTTGGGCAAATTGCTTAACCTATCTGTGCCCATTTTCTACCCATAAAATGGGAAAAAAATGTCTATCTCACAGGGTGCTTGTGAGAATTCAATAAGATAGTTCATTCAAACTAAGCACAATGTGTGATACACAGAAAATGCTCCATTTTTGATATAATAATAATAATAATAATAATAATGTCATTAAAATTGAGGTAGCCTCAGTTTAAAAATAAATTAGTAAATTTTATGACTATGGCATTTGAAATGTTTACTTACAGTCAGTTTGGGAGCATGGGTTTTAAGAATGTTGGCAATTATGTTTGTGGGAGAACATATTTCTGACTTCTCTCTTACCTACAAACTTAAATGTGGAACTTTAGTTGTTTGCATAGCATTTGAACTACCATTTATTCAAGTTTCTAAGATACTATCTCTAAAATTACCTTTAGAAGCCTCCTATCTGTTTTCTTGGCTTGTATTCTACACCAATGTAGATGAGATAAGTATAGCGTTGCATGCTAAAATATTCTGCAAAAGTCAGCATGAGTTTAAACAGTTTCATTGGTTCAGTTATCATTGGAGTTATCTGTATTTACATATCATTTATAGTAAACATTCCAAGCAGCTTCATAATAAAATTCTTATGGGGAAACAGTAACTAACATAAAATAAAATCAAATCATATATCTTCTCTTTATGGATCCCTTTATTTCATACTTCAGGATTTGGGATTTTTTTTTGGGGGGGGGCTGAGCTTTCTGATATTTATGCTGGGTGCACAATTAGTGAACTTGGCATTGACACATGTTTCAGAGGTCAAAACCATGCAATGATATAGTCTCTTGCTTTGTCTGAGATTGCCCAAGACCTTCTGTGATAAGTAGCAAGTATATCATCTGCTATATTTTACAAAAAGGAAGAAAAAAAAAAGCCTCACTATTGACTTCTATTATATTAAATATTTTTCTAGGACAGGAGTGTATATAACCTAGTATTACACCCTAAATAAATTCTAAACATTAGGCCTTTTTTTTGTTTGTTTTAGGTTACTGTATTCTATTTAAATTTAATTTTTTAAGAACTATGACCTCAAATATTACCAAGCTGTGGGATTTATATCATAAAGAAATAATAAGTAACACCTAAGATTTGGAGTGTTTGCATTTTTATTAACTATTATCTGAAAAAAAATTCAGCTGAAATTAATTCAGTGTATTTCAACATATTCTCTAAACTATTCTTATTCTATTATTTCATAAATGTTACTTTTTGAAGTTCTAGGACAATGTGATGATTATAATATCCCAGAGTAAATTATTTTAGATAACACAGAATTTAAGTCAGCAACTTCCTGTCAGTTAACACAGTAGTAGCTTTTAGTACCCTAGTTTATCCTCTCTTTTTCCTCTTAAGAAATAGGTGTCCCTCAAATAACTACATCTATCTTTCTGTGTCCATATGGTTTTGAACAAGTGGTGAAAGTATTCACTATTTGCTGTGTACCCACACTTGTCTAGTTCAGCTGGAGTGCCATCTGGTGTGGTACTCTTCCCATTTTCCTCATTTTGATTGCTTTCTCAACCTGGAAAATGGTAGCTTGATTGTCCATCGGGTCTCCATATGGCTGCTGGATTATCCTATGTAGTATCTATCCATCAGCAATATTTGATGGGTTATTTAAAGTTCATCCAGGGTGTTCACAAGTTAATAAATTTGGTCAGAAATCTCAGAAATTTTATTTGGAGAAGTATCATCATAGATTTTAGGAAGAAAATCTTTTGGATTGGTTAAAGGAAAGAAATAAGAAAACACATCCGTATCTTTCTGAGAAGCAGATGGCTACTCATATAGTGTTAGTTTCCAAAATTGTTTCTATTTTTACCCTTCTATACTGTCTAAGATGACATTTTAGTGGAAACAGCATCCTTGCATGCAGACCATCTTTGTTGCTTAAAGGACAACTATTGAAATAAGAAAGCCTATGAGATTAAATGTCTCCAGAACGATGAGGCATCCCAACAGAACTATAAACATCCGTCAATGAAAATGGAATCAGATCCTAATGATAGATGCCATGAAGATATGATAGAAGGCAAGAGTGTAAAGATGTGAAGAAACTATGGTGTATATCCTTGTGTGAATATAAACTTTCTTGAAGGAGATCATAGTTTAGCAACCCCCCTTTCTGCCCTCCTACCAAAATAAGCCAAATTTTTAATAAATTTTGGAGCACCAAAAATGTATAGATTCTAAATTTATCATTCAACATTCCCCATTTCTCCATGACTTTCTAAGTAGGATGGAGTAGAAAGACTGTTTTCTCCTCTATTTCTCATCTTATGCTTTACTGATTTTAATTTCATTTCTCTCGCCATTCTCTTTTCTCATTCATTCATTTATCCCTTTCCCCCCCCCGACAGTTACAGAGTACCTACCAAAGATTCAGGAGAGATAACAGGGAATTTGGAGAGGATTGCTGTGTACTCATGGAGCTCTTCGGAGAAAGAAGGTATGTGAACCAATAATTACAATAAAATGTGATCAGCACCAGAAGATTTTCATAAGGAAATATGAAACCACAGAAAGCCCCCTAACTCTGCCAGGTGGATTCCAGATTAATACATCTTCATGTTTTCCTGAATCACTGTCTGCACATAAATATCTATTTTATTTTATCTTTCACACAAGATTTAATGAAGTATGTTTAATGACATCATTTGTTGTATATACAAGTGGAAATATTTCTAACTGGCTTGAAACCTCAACAAGCAAACCCTAACTGAAATTGGAACATAATTTGCAATTTACCTCATCTGTGTAATATATGTATAAAATGTTTCTGAATTATGTATTCCTACTTTCTTTAAAAAATATTTTTTAATGTTTTATTTATTTTTGAGAGACAGAGACAGAGTGCAAGCAGGGGAGGAGCAGAAAGAGAGGGAGACACAGTATTGGTAGCAGGTTCCAGGTTCTGAGCTGTCAGCACAGAGTCTGTTGCAGGGTTTGAACTCACAAACCACAAGACTGTGACCTGAGCCAAAGTCAAACACTTAACCGGCTGAGCCACCCAGGCGCACCTCCCTCTTTCTTAAAATTATTCCTTCTTATGTAAAAATGGAAAAGATGTTTATGATTCTTACTTGGTATCTATTAATTCTTTGGATAAGCTTTTATTTTATAACCCTTAACATGAGACCAGAATTTAGCTTTCACTTTGAAGAAAGCTTTAATCTCAATATTAGATTATTACACATCTTATTTTATGAGCTTACTGCAAATTTCTTGATATCTCCAAATTTTGCAAAATGCTGGCTCTAGAATCTACCTTTTTCAAAATGGATTTGAATTCTGTTACTTTTATCTCATAAGAGATGTGTTAGTTCCATATTAAACTCTAATTTTTTTCAAAATTAATTGAAAAATTACATGTAATTGATATCTGTGTCTTAGAGTTGTGCTTAAATTAGAATTAGAATTGTCAGAAATAATGCGAAGACTGAATGATGCCTGTTCCAAGTACTGTACTAGGCTAAAGCTTTATAAAACTTACTAGTTTTATTTATAATAAATCTAAAAGTTTAAAAGTTTTATTCAAAATCAAGGAGCGTTATCATCTGATTAAAAATGTATAGTTTGTATAGGACACCTGAGTAGCTCTGTCAGTAAAGCTTCCAACTCTTGATTTCAGCTCAAGTCATGATTTCACAGTTGATCGGATGAGCCCTGCTTTGGGCTCTGCACTTACAGTGTAGAGCCTGCTTGGGATTCTCCCTCCCCCCACCACAGCCCCACCACCTCTGCCCCTCCCTGCTCATACATGTGTGCACTCTGTCTTTCAAAAGTAAAAAATAAAAATAAATAAATAAATAAATAAATAAAAATTTAAAAATATGCACCGTTTGTGAATTTATTCAATTTTATATTCAATTGTTGTCACTTTATATCAGTCAATTAAGAACCTTTGGACCTATGGATGCTTGGGTGGCTCAGTCGGTTAAGTGTCTTGACTCTTGATTTCAACTCAGGTCATGCTCTCACGGTTTGTGGGTTTGAGCACCACATCAGACTCTGTGCTGACAGTGCAGAGCCTGCTTGGGATTTTCTCTCTCCCTCTCTCTCTGCCCTTTCCTGGCTCTCTCTTTTTCTCTCTCTCAAAATAAATAAACTTAATAAAAAAGAACATTTGGACCTAAAAAAATTTCAAAATAGTCATAAAAAAAGACAAACCCTTACATTTTGTACACAAAATGAATATAATAGATTTTCCCTTACTTTTCTTTAATTTATTGTGGTGATATATAAATATGCCATTATTATCATGAATTTCTATGTAAAATGTATTTAAATTAATTTTCATAAAACATCTATAATAATTTTATAAGGCATTTTTTAACTAATTTCTTGGTGCTGCAGTGTAAATATTTCAAAGCAAAATAAAATGCTCTCTAACTAGCACCTATGTATAATAAGATGACAGAATACTTATTAAATTAATCTTTGAGATAGTCCATGTAATTTTTTTCTGAAATGATAAGTTCACATGAAAATATTTTTAGATGTTTTTGACAAACAATTTTCATTTGTTTCTGTCTTCCTCAAATAATGTGTATATTTTGGTAATCAAATGCATTCATTGTGAATAAGGAAACATAAACAAGAAGTAGTTATTACTCTAAGGACAAAAAAATTATCAAGATGAATTATATCCTATAAAAACATGTTCATCTTTATCATAGACTATTGTAAACAGAAGATCCAAACACAGATCATCGCTCTGAGATGTTCTTAGAAGTTCTTAGAAAGATAATATCTAGTAAAGAATACTATTTTAAACATTAACTACTTCAGCTTTCACTCTTAAATCTGTTTCTTAGAAGGGATTTCTTTATTTTTCCAAATTACTACAACTTTTCAAAAAAGTTTCTCTCTTCAGCAAATCTTCGTGCAGGAGAGCTGAGATTTCCTGAGAATCATGCTAATTAATGAAACTGAAGGACAAATTGAAGAATATATTACTAAAATATTTTGATATGTATAGGTGTCTATGCACTTTACAGTGCCTTTGCTTAGAACACTTCATCAAGCCTTTGTTTCATTTTTGTCTTTCAGGATCTCAGTAACAGCCCCATTTCACCTTGTCTAAATTGGCCTTCTTCAGTTAATCTCCATCTCCTCAATTTCCTCTGTGGAAGTTTTCACAATTCGTGATTATTTGTTCTCTCCATTGATGTGTTTATTGGTCTTTTATATCATGCTTGGAAGCTTCATGTAGGCATCAAACTGTATTTTTGCAGTATAGATGCAGCAACTTGCATAGTGGCTGGCATACAGTAGGAGTTCAGTAAATACACATTGAATGCATTAATGAGTGAAATTAAACAGCACTCTTTTTTTGGCAAAATTCCTACTATCTCAAAATCACCTTAAGTGACGTGTTTTAGTGTGTGTGAAAGTCAGATATTCCAAGAAGGTGCTCACAAATTATGTGAAGGAATTATTTATTATTATTTCTAATATAAAACTTGTAGAATTATGACAATATTTATGCAATAGCAATAGGAAAACAAAGAGTAATAACTGCTAAAAGAAATGATAATTCTTTTCACTTTACCATCATTTACATTTTTGTCAACTTTAGAAAAGGAGAAAATGGTGAGAAAAATCTGTAAGGAGTTTACACACAAAAGAATATTTCAACGAAGGAAAATATGTCAGCTTACTATACCATATTTTGTTCTTTCAAAATATTACAAAATTGACATAGGACATAATGTTTGATGTTCTAAGAAAAATACAATATGTTTAGGAAACTGTATATGTGATATGGATGCATCACTATGAGAACTACATAAGGAACGGCTAACATTTCAAAAGCACAGATTTTCAAAATGGTATGTATATGTGTCTAAAATTGCTGGTGTACTATAATTAATTTTTATTCTATTTTAAAGGGTCATTCAGTTATCTTTTATAGACAATTTTCACAGCTTATCATGAATCCCTAGAGCTGCTATGGTTAGGCCAATATATTTACATGAATAGTATGTAAATGCATTTAGGTATTTAAGTATAGTGTTCTTGATATAGCCTAAGGTGTTTCATATGAATATATCCAACATTTCACTTTTTGAGGGAGATAAGTGTATTTTTATGCTTCATCACACATACTATAAATATCCTTTATGCTTGTACTGTATTCCCACCTTGCTTCACATCATTCATTTAATTTTTTACATACGCAGCATAATAAATGCATGATGCTAAATTCAAACTTTGTAAGAGTCTGACCCACGTTAAGTCAATTTCATATCTTTCTCCGTGCTTCACTGATCTGGTCAGAATATGGCCTTCTTTGTATATCAACAAGGATTCTGCTCTGTGATTGAAGCCATGAAATCAGATGAGAACCTGGGAAATACCAGAGAAATATTGTTCAATGGTATTGTAACTGTGAACAATTTTTTTTCAATTTTCTTTCTCAAAAAAAAAAAAAAGAACCGTCTTTGAGATTACATAAAATAACAGAAGGCTAAAACTAGTTCTACCACCTAATTTTACAGATGAAGGAAATGACACACAAGTACTGATTTAAGGTCACATTTCAATTAGTGGTAGAAACAAGAATAGCACCGAATTCTACCAATGCCCAAACTGATGTTCTCCTCAGGCCTCACTCATCTTTGCTGGTTGTTTTAGGAAGGCATAGAAATGGTGGTATAGTGGGAAGAAGTCAACGAGGGCTTTAATATAAAGTAGCCATCAGTTCTTGTACTTGTCTGCTGTGTGACTTTGGCTCTGGAACTCAGGTTTCTTATTTATAAAATGTCAATAATAATAATAAATGACACATAAGATCATTTTCAGAAATGAATGAAATGAGATCATAGATACAGCATACAGGGCCTGCAACAGGGTAGGCATTCAAATGCAATGTACACATTACTATTTTGACTATTTGTGATTAGCATTATTTTCATAGGAAATCATTAATGTAAGCATGAGTGACCTTACAGCATTCTACAGGAGATGATCACTTGATGGGCAGAGCTCATCTGACATTGGAAAAATCCAGCATTGGTTTGGCAGACCGTGGCTGCACCCTCGGTTTAGAAGTAATTAGTACTACTCAACCAAGGTAATCTGGAAATTGGCTCTCAGACCACATTTGCAATTTTATGTGGAGAGAAATGATTCAATATTCAGTAATGGTTAGGTACTTTCAATGTTCAACCCTGAGGTCCTGTGTAAATAGGATTGTTGTCGAAATGGAATAGAAGTTTTGTGTGCAAAATGACAGTGGGAGCAGCTCGTTAATCAGATTTACACAGAAAAGGAGGGGATTGTGCCCTCATGGGAATGCCAATGAGAAGGTGCATTGAATGTGGAAATCAGTTATTTTTAATGTTAAAATAAATATTAGCATCCTTCCTGCCTGTATGTTTCATAATGCAGAAAGGAATCCAATGTTTGTTTGTTGTTATGTTTGAACAATATTTTTTACTTCAAGAAGTCATTAAAATAGCTTGTAAATTAGTTTTATAAGATTATATAGTTATTGAGTGAAGAATGGAAAAATTAGTGATAAGCTGCATGTGAGGAAGAAATATTTTGGAATAATGATCACTTTTGTAATAATAAATGTGATGATGATGAAAAATACTTCACAGGTCAAACCACATGTGTGTTGATCTGGATGATTCATGATTTTGCATAATTTTGTTACTATCAACAGGACTTTTACTGAAGAAAATACTATCGTATTAAGAGTGTTAATTTGCAATATCTCTAGAGCTCAGTTTCCCACATTTAAAATAAGAGGAATTGTACCAAATGACCTCTTAAGTCTCTTCCAGCACTAAGCCCTGAAAACAATGCTATTATTTTTATGACAGTCTTTTGTCCTATATCTGGGCCCAGAATCCATCAGGACTGGATGAGACTTGAGGGTAAACATTTCACCCTGTGAGATTCAATTATAGATCAGATCACATCTGGAGTATTAGAGGAATGTAGGAGTGAGCCCAGAGATACTGTTTCTATAATCACCACCTATATTTTCCTGACCTTTCCAGACAGCATAAACCTAGTTTTGACTTCAAGAGGAAATTCCAAATTCAAAGCCGGAAACATATCTGCACAGTTTTCCAGAATTAGGAAGTCAGTTGCAGTGTGTTAACCCACGTCCTTGGTGGCTACAATATAAGTCACAAAATCAGCTTCTTCTTCTTCTTCTTCTTCTTTTTTTTTTTTAAATGTTCACATATCTTGACATGCATAGCTAATGACATCACAGTTTATCCTCTATCTGTGGTTTGTCTGGAAAATGGCTGAAAGTATTCAATGGTCTTCAAGCCTCAGGATTTCAAATTCGCAAAATTTTAAAGAGAATCCATTCCAAATTTCCTTTGTTTAACGTAATCCAGAAATCAAAGTGCCTTTAGATATAAATGACAAGATAATAGAATTCTAAGTGTTCTCTGCAGTGAATATTTTACTTTCATTTTGCACAGTGGAGCTTAAAGTGCCTCACTTTATGCTGATGGTGGTCACTTTTCAAGTTTTTCAGCCTCTTACAGTTAAAACATATGATAAAGTGGCCATTTGCAAAAAAGATGAAGAGAATAAGTGAGCATGAAATTCACAGAAACTGAGACCATATTAAATACTATGTTGGTGTACTTCCATCTACCACTATTTGTAGATAAAACTTTTAATTTGCTATATCAAGAAATTTACATGGACAGGTTACATTTTTGGTTAAAATTAGATATCTTGGAGAAAAATATAATAATCACAGTAAAGACAAGGTGGAAATACAAGAACTCTCATAAATAAATATAAATAAAATATGTAGGTATGTATAACATAGCTATGTATAACATTTAATGATACATAAATAGTTATGAAAAAATATATACTATTAAAGGAGCTTAAATGTTAAGTTTAATGCATTTTTCTAAAATAATTCATTTCTGTAGCAATATGGGTCTGGCCACAGTAAGCAAATTATATATATTGCAGGATAAAAAATAACAAAGAAAATGCCTTTTCCGAATATGCTTTATTACTTAAATTAGTGTAATTTTGAATTATAATAAATGTGAAAAGCAAAATTTATATAAATATCCTTCCTACTAAAATATGGAGAGAAATCAAAATGAAGCTAATTCTTTTAAAACAAATTTCTGTAAACAGATTGTTACCATGAGTGTTCTTTCTGCTGATAAACAACATGTAAAGTTAAAGAGAAGACATAAAAGCAGTAATCACCATGTACCAAATATCATTTCACGAAATCATTTTAGAATCTTCTAAGTCAAACTGGATTTTTAGCTCTTGATTAAAAATAACTGGTGGCTCCCTTGACACAGGAGGCCTAGTTTTCAAATCAACCAATATAATTAACACATGAATATTATTTAAAAGGTTATTTTACACTTTTAAATGTTTCTAAATAAATTCAACTAATGTATATGAATGTTTGTGTAATACATGAGATTCCTTTATGAAGACTAAGAAACAGAGATAAACTAGGCTAAAAGTTAATTAGTACAGAATTTCTAATATCATCTAAAGTTTCTTATAAGAAAAATAGATCATAATTTTAAAAGGATATTAATGTAACTCTTTGTATTTTATAATTGTTTCTACATTAGGTTGAAGCACTGAATCATCCTGAAGACGGGACAGCCTGTAAGTGGTTACATTTTCCTAAGAGATATAAAATCACCATGTGATTTTTTTTTTTTATCATGGCCTTCATTTGATTTGTAACACTTAATCCCCATTAGTTTAGCTATTAAAAATATATTCTATTCTTTTAGGGTGTTTTTTTTTTTTTTTTTTTTTGAGAGAGAGAGAGACAGGGTGGGGAGGGAAATAGAGAGAGAGAGGATCTGAAGCAGGCTGTGTTGACAGCAGAGAGCCTGATGTGGTGCTCAAACTCATGAACCAAGAGATCATGACCTGAGCTGAAGTCAGACACTTAAACAACTAAGCCACCCGGGTGCTCCAAAAATATTTTCAATTGTATTTGTAGATTTTTTTTAAGCATTACAAATAGCATTAATAGAAGACAAGGATTAGAATTATTTGAATATCTTGCTTTATCATCATTTAGAAGTACTTTGCAATTTGTTTTCCTGTTTTATTAGTGTTTTATGGATATCTTTGAGCTAAAATGTCATCCCCTTAGTTTCATGAATCATTGCAAAAACATCAGGGAGTATCATTTATAATGTACAACAATCTATTTTGATCCAAGAAAGTAGACCTTGCTGAAGTATGGCATTTTGGGATGCTATTTTCATGTAATGTGACGTGAGTGAAGTGAATGCTAAAATTATAATCTTGCCTGATATTTACTAGTAAAATAGTCATGGCATTAAAGTAGATATACATCAAAAAGAAAGAACATGAAAGAAGGGTAATCAAAATACTTTGATTTAATAAATATTATGCTTAATATTTCCCATTTTAGCATCCTAATTTTAATACCTGGACTTAATACCTGACTTAAGTGTGCTTTCACTTTTATTACCTTAGTATCTTTCTCCAGTTATCTTTATGTATATGGCCTAACTTTTCAAATTTTCTTTTTTTTTTTTAATTAAATGTTTACTTATTTTTTTGAGAGAGAGAGAGAGGAGTGGAAGGGCAGAGAGATGAGGAGAGAGAGATCCCAAGCAGGCTCCATGCTATTGGCTCAGAGCCTGACATGGGGTTTTAATCTATGAACCATGAGATCATGTCCTGAGCCAAAATCAAGAGTCAGACACTTACCTGACTGAGCCACCCAGGCACCCAAAGTTTTTCTTTTTTAAAATATAATGCATGATATATAAATATTACTTTAAAGTTTTAGTAGGAAAAACAATAATCAGGATTCAGGAAGACTGGGAACTCCTATGCCAGAAACCAGTATATAAGAATTAAAATTATTTTAAAGATAATATTAATAATTACTCTGTAAATGTGTAGTTATCATATCATTATAATCATAACAGTTTCCTATTATAAACTAAAATCCAATAGTTCCTAATGCAATCCATAATTTATTTTTGAATGGTAATTTATAACAAATCAACCAAATATTTAGTTTTTTATAAATGTAAAATTTCATTTACTATAAATTTAAAACTACATCATTTAAAAATTAGAGTTAAAAGCTATAAAATAATGCATTCTTAGGTGAATAATTGTTTACAATTTCCTTTATAGATCTGCTAATATAAGCATATTGGGAGAACGTTCTAAGAAGTATAAGGTAGCAGTCTACAAATAAAATGGTCAAGAGATGTGACCATTTGCAAAAACACTTCAAAAGCATTCTAGAAGAGAGATGTTAAACCATTAACGTTTCATTGTTAATAATGAATAAGTTCACATCTGATAACCTTTCCTGCTACCAGCATACTAATTTATATTAAATAGTGACTAATGATAAGATTATCAGCTATATAGGCCCACAGTAAGTCAAATGAGATATGGCTAAAAACTAAATCTATATACTCATTTGAGAAAGATTATAATGGTCTTTATAATATTAACATTTTTTCAAACTGACTTTTCCTTTATAAAATGTTTAAAGTAACAGTTGTTTGATAAAAAAAAGAACATGTCAGGGTGCTTATTTGGCTCAGTCAGTAGAACATGTGGCTCTTGATCTCAGAGTCATGAGCTTATGCCCCAAACTGGGTGGAGAGATTACTTAAAAAAAAAAAAGAGAATATGTGAAACATCAAAGATACAACAATGAACACCCAGGAATCCACCATACAACTAAGAACTAGAACCAATGATAAACTGAAACATTTAATATAAGAGAAAAACAAGCTGTTTTGTTTTGCTATTTCTGAATTTTAAGTATCTTCTCTGCCAAAATATAAGCGGCTTTGTACTTATTTTGCATTCTTGTTGCAGTCAAAACTCCTTTGTTTGAAGTTTGAAGTACTAACCATTAAATTAGTGTCTATTTAATAACTAAATCCATCAAACAACAGGCATACTAAAATGATTTCATTTTCCTTTCTGGTTAATATGAAGTGCTTAATCTTAAAATGTGAACTGTCAAAATAATGTACTTTTTTTTTTCCTCCACAAGAATAATTTCGATTTCTTACATATCTCTTGCCAAGCATTCTAACGAAACAGGGTATGTATAAATTGGTCCACCACCAAGACTCTCTCTTAACTTCAGTGTCTAAGTCTGGACAGTGTTGCTTATCTCGATTGTGGATAATTTTTTAAAAAAAGATAATATCCTAAAATGGACTTACAATTCTAGTTTATAGTCAGAATATATTTTTAGAGAGGGAAAATTCTATTATTCAATCAACTAATGGAATAACTATAACAAGGTAATACTTGAGAAAACAGAATCTCACAAAATTCATTAATGCATTCAAGCTGTAAAGTAAAATACTACCTATTATTTAATGTTATACCTATTGTCCATTAAGTAATTTTTTGATACTCAGGCCATCACCTTCTCTTTTTACATATTAGTAAATACTGTATTTTTACTAAGAAATATTATTAATACTTAATTGTATATTATATGTTATAATGTATGTAACTAAATTTATACTTTGATATATGCAAGTGTATAAGCAAGCATCTCATTTATAGAAAGAAGGCTTCAGACTGAGAAGAATCCTGGTTATAATGTCAGTTACTTAAATCGAAGGTGGTTAAGATTATTTTCTCTGTTAAATACAAAAGTCAGTTTTTATGGATCAGAGAACTATTCTAGGACTATTGTAGATATAGTTTAATACTCGTATTTTTAAATTTGAGGTTAAAGGATAAACAAAAAATGTGCTGCACGTTAGAGCTGCATTTTAAGCATTTTAGCTTTTGAATTTCTAGTGTTTCCACGAAAGCTTGAATAGGAAGCTATGGTCTGGCAAACTAAGAACATATTACAGCTCTATTAAACAGTCTCCACTTGGTATAATGAGAACTGGTATAATCTAATTGTTTAACCAATAACATTCATTTTTACCATTATATAATAATCTAAGTTAGTAGCAAATTTTTTTCAAATATAATTCAAATAAACAGATTTAGGAGATTTATTTTTATACTATTGTATTATTGGAACATTTTGTAAGTGCTCAAAGAATTTGGTCAGGACATTTCTTTATATGAGAATTTAAAAATTCCTTGGGTCATAGATGAATGAGAAAGTTTTAATAATGGCCAATGAGACAATCATGTCTCTCTCATATACACACCCACACACACCCACACACACACCCCTCTACACACACACAAGATCTAAAGTTCTTCTTTTATGACTTTTATAAAATGAAGCTGTTTCTCCTTGCTTCTAAACTGGGACACAATTTAATACCAAAATAAAATTTGGGCAGCTGCTGGAATTACCACAATAATAATAACATTATCACATAATAATAATGATACCAATACAATGATAATTGCTTAAATCAAAAGAAGAGTTTAAGTCCTGAGAAAGTCCTATTCAATGTATATTATTATGACTATAAAGTTATTAGCCGTAAGAGTACTATTAAAAAGTATTATATAATACTAATAAGAGTACTATATAAGTTCTATATAAATAGGACTCCAAATCAAGTGAAATATTTGCAAATAAAATGGAATATTTGGGAGTTTAAGACATTTCCCAAATGTTGTAGAATTTGCCAGTCAGGTAAAGTCCTGATTTTTAATTTAAAATATCTGCTAAAATTAATAGTAATAACTTGTTACTATAAATCTACAACAGAACTTAAGTGATTTGGATCAGTGTTGCAAGAAGCTGACTTTAATTGTGATTTTTTTTTTTTTTAAATCAGTGGAAAGGAGTGGTTCTCAAATTCTAGCAGGCATCAGAATCAGGCTTGTTAAAACACAGATTAGGAGCCCCACCTCCAGAGTTTTAGATTTGGTGGACCCATGATGCCATCCGGGAATCTGAATTTTTAAAAAATGTTTCAACATTTATTTATTTTTGAGAGATAGACAGAACGCAAGCAGAGGAGCAGAGAGAGATACAGAATCTGAAGCAGGGTCTAGTCTCTGAGCTATTAGCACAGAGCCCGATGTTAGGCTTGAACTCACAAACTGAGAGATCATGACCTGAGCCAATGTTGGAGGCTTAACCGACTGAACCACTCAGGTGCCCTGAGAATCTGCATGTCTAATAAGTTCCCAGGTGAGTCTGAGGTGACTGATCAGGAGACCACATTTTGACAACCAGTGATCTGAATGGCAACATAGTACTTTTAGCACTTTCTTTGATAAAGCTATTACCATGTTCTCAAAAGACATTTATTGATTCTGGAACCTATTATTATTAATGGATTTGGGAATGAGATGTATTCACTGTCATTTTACAGTTACTAAAACAAATTTTATGATAACCATAGATACACTAACAATTTTTGCTAGGATATAATTTTGTGTAATTATAAATGTGTTACAATGACTTAGGAATAGTAATAGAGTAACTTGCTTTGAGGTGAAAATATATGTGTTGTATTTTCCTATGGAGTACTTCCTTGGTCTATTAACTTTTGAAAAAGTATCTATATTCTGAAGGGGAAAAAGAGTAAATCCATTTCTATAGAGGATTTTTATTATTGTATCTGTGATGTGTAAGTGTCTTCTGGTGAACAAAGACAATAGTAATGGCTTCTAGCAACATTTGCTTTTACACTATTTAATATTTGTTCTATTAATCACAATCTAGCAAGTTACTTGAAAGGAGGATATTGCTTTACATTCTTTCGAATTCCCCACAGAG